AATGACTCTAACTGATGAACTCTGGTTAGGCTGCCTTTTGACTTTTCGATCCTTTTGCCGAAGTATGTATGTCGAGTTCGAGAGAGGCACGGCATTCCCACATTCACTGTATGGTGATTCACCTTCCTTGCTCGGTGGTGATAGGAAGTTGTCAATGGCAGCAGTTTGTTGGTTTTATGTCCCTTGTTACTGCCGTTTCCTCGTCCGATATAACTACACAACCGGCCTTTGAGAGTATATTCCCCGTGTTGAGCTCGGAAGCAGAGGAGCTCATAGCGAGGATACCGTCAACTTCCTCACCGAGTCATCTGGTGCTGAGGCGCCGAGAGCTCGCCGTGAATTCTCATGAGTACTCGGCGACGACGATGAGACTCCTGGTCAAAGCGCAAGGGGAAGTTTATCCCAGGGAGGTTAGAGAGGTGAGGGGGGCTACGACAGCGTGATGTGACGGATGTGTGGTATGATAGTGATCTCTCGATCATTCGGCGATTGTCGATAATTGGACGTTTTTCTCTATTCAGAAGGTGCCGTATTTTGGCGGACTCCAAGCCGTGCGGAAGGAGATAAGTTATGCTCCACCCGAGCCGCCAGCACTTGATACATGCCGACTATCGTTGCCCATCCCTTCGGTAGATAGGCCTCATCTAGTCACGGCTGTTGTGCCCACTGGCGTTCACAAAATGTGCGCCGGTGAGACTCGGCCGGTGGTCTGTGCAGGGTAGGAATGCTGCTACTGTGAGCTAAGACAGCAGTTACTTGTTGTTCGTTCAGATCGCAACTGGACCCTGGTTCGCCGGACGGTTTCGACGTGACTATGATACCGCAACCTGTGAGCTGAAAGTTTATGATGACTGTTGTGTATCGGCCGAGGAAAAGGATGAGGACAAGTTTCACCACCAAGCAGTTCTCCATCTACTTCAACTTCTTTTTGTACCATCGTTGCTTCCGAGACAATTCTGAAACTCCGCTTAGTCTCGTGTGAATGTCCGATGAGTTGCTGCTTTATTATCGCCCTTGATTGCACTATGAGGCACAGACCGTCGGAGTGGGGGCTTTTGTGGCAGAGGCGACTAACTCCTCACTGTTGTGTTATGTCAGTGTTTACACTGGGGGAGCTGGGGGTGACAGTCTTGGGTGACTCAGTATTAGAATAGCAAATGTGCGAAAGAGACTGCGGACCTGACAACCATTGGGAGTGCTATTTCGAGAGAACAGCGGAAGGGCTCAGCTTTCAGTTGGCATTCTGCTTCTAGACTCGTCTCACTCAGTGCCGGGAACTTGGCAGTTCCTGGATTGGACATCATCAGGCTGTCCGTGCTGAGATCACTGTGGGAATCTCTGGGTTGTAGTTGATATGGTCAATGGTGTTTTCCCTACAATGCGAGCCTCTAGACTGTGTAAGGGACTATTCGTTGGGTCTTAGCAGCTTAGCATTGACCTTGTGCTGTCTCGCGGCTCTGAGGCAGTTGCTTTTCAAGAGCCCGCTGAAGCCAGAAGCTGCTGGTATTATTATAATAATATTGGTAGGTTCATGTGTTTACGGCCTCACCAGTGGTGTGTTGGAGGAATATATGTTCGCTTTCTTCAGCTGAGCTCAGGAGTTTTCTTACTAATCATAGGGGTTTATTTACGGCTTAGGGTAGAAGTGTTCGAAAACCAACTTGATTTGACGAAATTCCCTCAGAATTTTAATATTGATTTTGTGCATATTTTCCCGCACTGGCTCCTCACTGGGCTATTCCAGATTGAGCTGCACTCCGGGTTCTTGGTGAACTGCCCTGCCTCAGTCTCTCGTCCAGTGTTTACTCGGTTTCATCTACTACGGCT